AAATATGAAAGGAAGTAAAACTATTATCCGCAGATGACATGATACTATACATAGAAGACCTGAAAAACTCCACTAAAAATCTGCCAGATTTAATAAGCAAATACAGTAGTGTTAACTGGATACAAAGCCAACACTCAGGTGCCAGGGAGATGGCTCAGTAGAATAAGCGTCTCCCTGGCAAGTGCAAGGGCCTGAGTTCAATCCCCGGTTCCACCAAAAAGAAAAAAGCCAACACTCAAAAATCAACAGGCTTCCTGCTCACAAGTAACAAACTCACTAGAAAAAACAACAACCTTCACAGTAGCATCCAAAAAAGTTGAAATACCTAGGAATCGATCTAACAAGGGATGTAAAAGACCTCCACACTGAGTACTCTGAAAAAGGAGACTGAAGCAGCTATCAGAAAAATGGAAGGATTTTCCTTGCTCTGGGTAGGAGGAACCAATACAGCGAAAATGACTATACTTTCAAAAGTGTTATACAGATTTTTTTTTTTTTTTGGTTATACAAATTTAACACAATTCCAATCAAAATTCCAACAGCATATCTCACAGAATTAAAGAGACAAAAAGCTCTAAAATGTATTTGGAACCAGAAATGACCTAAAATAGCAAAGCCAATTCTGGGGAACAAAGGTAAGACAAAGGGCATCACAATCCCTGACTTGAAATTATACTATAAAGCCACTGTGATAAAAACAGCCTGACCAAACTGGTCAAGCAATGGCTGTGACTCATCCACATGGCTGACACTGACAAAAGATCCACAAAGTGCAGTACAGGGTTACAGGATAAATCCTGAGGGGACTTGACTGACCTTGTCAGATACAAAAGTTACATTTCTTGTCATATAGGTCTTGCTTTATCTTGGTCTTAACCATCCAGCAAAAAAGTGTAGGGACGAGGTATATAAGGTGAATCCATATTAATATGCTGAGCTGTAAAAGGCTCTAGTCAACAACTTCTGTGGATAACCCACTGCTATTGTGGACTGCTGGACTGTGTTGGATTGTTTTACTGAGTTTAGGTATCTATAGTATTTAGATGCCAATAGAATTTCCATCTCTGACAGGACTGAACAAAAAAGGGGATGTAATAGAAGGACCATTTTGTATTTGTATATACAGAATAGTTAGGATGGATGTACAGCTACTTTTGCTTGGTTCAATGAGAAGAAAGATTTGTAGTAATAGTGTTTGGACAGGATATCCTGTCTGTTTCTTGTACTATGGATGACCATTAAGAAGATAACAATGGGGGCCAGGGAGATGGCTCAGTAGAATAAGCACTTGCCTGGCAAGCACAAGGGCCTGAGTTCAATCCCTGGTTCTGCCAAAAAAAAAAAAAAA